TTCATATTACAATATTTTACGTGGAATATCTGAACTAACGTAGTGAATTGATTCTCCACTAGGTTTTTCAATTTGTATTCAGTGGTTAAGAAATGGGTATTTCCGATAATTCTCTTCTGTAACTAGGATAATTAAGATACAGTTCTTAAATAATCTATTTTTTATTTATAATGGATATAATGGCTTATTATATTAATATAACACAAAACTTAATCATTTATGATCAAGATATATGATGATGATCATGATGATATATAAGGATTCCGCTCAGCATGAGGAAGAAAGTTGTTTATCAATAAATTTACTTAAAGAATATATATTACTTTACTACCTTATCTCCGACCATTCAAAAGCTAGAGAAATTATAACTTAATGTTTAAACTTGGATACTAGGCAATAATTTTCGTTATTTCGATTTTTCGTAATTTTCGTTATCACCCAGCTATTAATCATTATGTAAGGCAATTAATTTATAAAAATTATATAAGGCAATGTGTACATACGTATGTTGGCTTATATAAAGATTATGGCTACGTAATAACCAATTATCTCCCAGATTACCCGAAAATCCATAACTGCCCTTAAACAACTCCTAAGATTCCGTGATTGTATTCCTCTAAAAACCAGACAGCTCCTTGTAATCTCCCTTGTATTCCCCCACTTCGACTACGGCTGCTTGGTGTATGGAGGGCTATCTGCTAGGCTGGAAATGAGACTAAAAAGACTCATGAATTGTTTCATAAGATACATTTTCGGGATCCCCAGGCGTTCACATGTTTCACTATGGTACACCGAGTTGAATTGGCTTTTTCCTACTTCCCGACGACAATTCCTTCTTGGCGTTTTCCTTTTCCAAGTATTCAAAACCAAAAACCCTCCCTAAATCCTGGAACTCTTTACTCTACGCTCCTCTATCCACTCTCTCAATACTTGGTCTCAACCTATAGACTTATATATTCCCTCCCATAAAACTTCCTCCTTCGGCAAATCCTTCGTCATTCGTGCTGCTTCCTTATGGAACTCACTTCCTACCTCCATGCGTCAATCCTCATCCACAAATTCCTTCAAACAACTCCTGTTCCAACACCTACTCCACATTCAAACTTCCCCTAACATGTAAAATTACTTGCATCTATACAATGTTTAATTTCAATCCATTGCACAATTGAAATAACAATTAACAATAAATTAGCTGGTATTTTTACTATGTCAGACTAAGATACATAAATGTGTAACTCTGTTATTATTCTTAGGGGACAGTAGTCCCAGAATAAAATTATTTTTTCATTTCATTTCATTTCATAATAACGAAAATTATGAAAAGTAAGTTTTTCTGCATAATTTCGGAGTTTAAGCATAAAGTTATCATTCCTCTAGCTTTTGAATAGTTGTAGATAAATTAATAAAGTACCATATATATATTCTTAAAGTGAATTTAATGTTAAAAACACTTTCTTCCTCGCGACTTTTTCGTAAAATGAAAACAATGATAGAATCAAATAATGATAAAAATAGAAGACAAAAACATTTTTTTCGATGTTAGTGAATTACTAGAACGGGTACTATGGAAACTATAGAATATACTGAAAGAATTATTATAACCATTTCCGTTGCAAATTTTGTGAGCTTTACTTTTACATCGGGCATTATTATCACTAGAACGCATAGTTGCACTGAAACACGGAAAAAAATGAACTTTTTGAATAGTAAATTGAAGTTTTCGACTTGAAATCCACAGGTATGGGGTAACTGGCTGTTATTTCGTGTGTTAAGATAGTAAATACCATACATTCAAAGAGCTAGTAGCTTTATATATCTATAGCGTCTCTTATCTAACTTCACATAGCCGCCATTTTTTATTCCATTCTCATCAGGCCTGTGGATATGGTCAATTTATAATTACAATCCTTGGCATGAAATAATGCACCTTACGTCACGGGCTTCCGGATTAATAGAATTATACTTACTCTGTGGTCTGGTCTGTGTTTTTCTCCTTGTTCCCTGGTTTGAAACTTTGAAGCTTTCCACTCTGAAAATTTATAGCCCCTCAAATATTTTGATGGCGCAACTTTCGCCAAGAAACCCTCTGCTGGACACCCCTTTTGTGAGTGGTGACAATAATTGATATCTTGCATGTTTTGATATCTTAAGCTGAATAGTGGTCAAGCAGAAAAATAGCTAGTCAAGTTTTAATGTGATTCAGAATATTTAGAGAGTATGTGATCCAAGGATGTAAAGAATAATGATTTCATTACTCAGGCTATATAATATATTCCTCATTGCTCATCGTCATTGTAGTGACTTTTTTCTACCACGTTCGCCCCATTCACACATATTCTTACATAGCTTCTAACTTTACCAAGTAGTTATAAATATTCCCAAATTATTCATTTATAAGTTTATCAATCTTTGTACGGAACATAACGCTGAATGAAATAAATTTGTGCTCATTTCTATTCTGGAAAGGGTTGTTTTAATATTTCTTTTTTTAAGAAAAATAAAGTGCTACTTGTTTGAGAACATTGATAAAAAAATTGGTTCATGAGCCTTTTTGAGGAAAAACTATTGCAATTTGCACGGATGCTCAACTGCGCTGAATTACTAAATCACACAGTATACTCATCAATCAACAGATAATATTTTAATTAAACAAATATTAGAGATTTAGATGGGACCATTGTAATACTTAGGAAATATGCCAAGAACCGTTCATAGAGTCAAATAAGTGAAGGCTAAGATATGTGGTGATGGATGATTCTTAACGGAGTCTAAAATAATAGTTTCTGCCATGGATTGCATCTGCTCCATTCCAACTCAGAGTCTCTGCAAGTAATTTCTTGTAGTAGGAGGGGTGGTTCCCCTACTTCCGAACCTTTTAAGTGGGAATTTTCTTTCGCCGAATTCATCTCTGTACTTTTCCTTAAAGTAAGATATACATTCCATGTAAATTTCATCTTTATCTTGATCGTTCGTTTGAAACCTGATCGTGGAAAACACTATTAGTCCACATTTTCCGTCACATTGGACGCTGGAATGTAAAAGGACCTCGTTGAGCCTTCTGAAATCAGTCAAAAACTTCGAGGAAACATTTAAAATTCTTTATTTCTAGGAATTCGGCTTTACGGTGTTTTATATAATTGTACCGGTGGGTGATAAAGAGTTTTCCCTACAATTATCGAATACATGAGCTGAGGTTTCCGACTTACGGCCACATTTGCTGCAGAGGGGGGTTTAATTAATATTAAATTGAGCATTCTTCCACTCTGGGCCGATGAAAACTTTTCTGTCGTATAGAAATTTATTGGCCTATGAGTTTGATTTGAAATGGGGCACACCAATTCCTTGTATTTCCTGTTGCATTTGCTCCAATCATCAAAGGACTTTCCTCAAGGACTGTCTAACCTGTAAACCCTAACAGATCAGTGCAGTTTCTTACTTTATCAATTTGTCTTATATATCGGGTTGCCGGGCTCCGGCGTTGCTGTGCACACGCGTTAGTAGCCCGCTCGGCCACCCCGCCCACACTTTTTCTCCATAGGCCATTTTTGGGAAAATGAAAAAATGGGGCTAGTGCTGAAGAAGAGCCTCACATTGACACCGCAAAAGGACGAAGTCCCTGTATCGGCGCGGTTCATACCTCATCGCAGAGCAAGTGCTAGCCGGTAAACTCACCATTGCTTTAACATTTCTTCGTAGTATAGTGTATGGTTATCCAATAGCGATTTGAGCAATTTCGCTAATGGCGCCGTCTGCAGTGCCATTAAATGGATTGTAGACGAAGACATTCAGAATTTCTGTTACGGTTTCGATTCTATCCTGCCGCAGAAAAATTGTAATTCTAGACCAGTACTAATTAGTTTTTCAACGTCCTTGTTTCAAGAAATATAAAAAAAGTATTTTAAAATGTAATTCTTATTGCAGTAGTGATTTTGGAGAAATTGGAGCGTATAACGAACTTGCTCCAAGGGTTTCCTATTTGAATAACCACTCTGTTGTACACATCCGAATGATTGTTCACCATTTCATTGTTTCAGTTAACCATCGGTCTAATAAGTTAGGGCGTAATAGGTTAATATTGCTTAAAATCTTCTTAAGACTGTACATAACAACAGGAAAAAGTTTGAACAAAATCAGCGCACTCGTTTACTCGTGATTAAAAAGCGTAACAGATATACAAGAATTATTTTGTTATTTTAAACGCGTCTTTTTTATGTTGAATTTGCAGCCTCCATGGTACTATGGTTTGCTTGGCTAAGCATTTATAAATTTCTCTGGAATTAACTCTGGATTGAGGACCATTGAGCCCAATAGAGAATATACACGAGTACTTCATCGACTAAAGAGGGTTGCTGTTTGATTTAAAAACCCGTTATTTAGTTGATTAAATGTTTACCTTAATCATAATAAAACTAAATTTCCAAAATTCCAGCCAAGCATGGCACATATCTCTGGTCATAAATATTTAAGTCGACATACGCTTACGTTGTTTAAAGTCTACCATTCTTTAACTCTTGAGCTCTTCATTTAGTCAAGTTTTTATACAAATAACGTAGTTTATTTTTGAAAAAAATCCTTTACCCTATAAAAATGTATAAAAAAAAAAAAACGTTAACAATTTTTACTTGTTATATATTGTGATTTTATCCTCAATTTATTATTTCCTGATAATCCCGAGGAAATATAAGTTTAGCTTATTTATATGAGAAGTGAGAAAAAGTAATAACAAGTGTAGAGTGATAAGGATATGTTTTAATCAAAATTATATAAATTATAAATCATTGTTACATAAAGAAACATTTATGGAAAATTTATAAACTAATGCCTACTAATCAATAAATAAATTATTAATCGTTCTATTTATTACTTTTTTCCAGTATCGTTAGTCAATAAACAAGGGTGAAAGATTTATTTAAAGTTTTATCTTATAAATTTTAGTCATCAGATATCTATTCACGTTTTCTTCCGTTTTTGGCCCGTCCGTAAATTAGCAGGTTGTCGCAATGCGGTCTTGTTTGTGCCTCTATGTTAGGTATCTTTATGACAATAAGATGCAATATGGTTTAAAAAAATTGTTACATTCCTCTATTTTGTTTGTTGAAATATTTTGTTGTCATTTTGATGTATATTTTTTAAAATATGTTTCGTGTTGTTTTGCAGTAATGTATAAACTCGTAACAAATATCTCATTAAACATTAATGATACGGTTCATTGAATATATTTTATGTCCTGATTAGTGTCTGTTTCCATTCTTATTTTAATACTTTCAATTTAATTACCAAGATTTTGAGGAATAGGGAAGAAAAACTAAAGATATTCCCTTTACCACATCTCGTGAAGGATCATGGTTTTCAATATTTAGTAAGGGAAACCACCAAAAACCTATTTACTAATGTTTTACATTGGCAACGCAGTAGAATGCAGGCAAATTGAATAATACATCGAAATGATTGATTAAAATTTGAAGTATTCTTTCGTCAACACTATTGTTGTGATGTGTGACCAATGTAGTGATTTATTTGGAGGTAAACTCTGGTGAAACAGCTAATTTTCATAAGTGTTTTTGCCAAACGCAAGCCGTTGGAAGCATCTGTACAAGTCGACGGACCAAAATCAAAACATGGTTTTATTTTAAATAGATCATCTAGCCTTATTATTAATTACTTAAAGACCCTCAGAACAAGTAAACAGTGTGTTATTATAATAGATTTTTACATTTGTAAAGAAAAAGAAAAACGTTTCTTATTTTAAATGAAATTTTTTGTGTTTTTAATCAAAAAAATATATTTTCAAATCTATAAATTTTTATAATTTGTTCATTTTAAAATTTATTCATATATCGTATGTCTTATTTGATGTCAAGAGTCATTTCGTTAACATTTGCTGAAATATTTTTAAAATTAACAGAACATTAATAAAACAAAAGGTTCATTTATTTGAAATTTGTAAGCTTTGTGCCTATCTGGAGATTAAATAAATCTAAATGCATTTTAAGCATGAAAAATAGTAAGGATATACAATCGATAATCATGTTTATTAAGTTTGCCGATATTTCCATCCAAGCATGTGTGTCATCAGGGCCAAAATCTATGCATTTTACTTTTCTACTCCGCAAGCTTTTTACAAGGTATAGCTTTATAAAATAATAATAAATGTCTGCCTGATCTTAATTAAATTATTGGTTATGTGAAGCTACTATTAAGTATTGGCTCAACATAAATTTTCTATTAATCACAGCAGTGTTTCGTTGCCACCTCAAAAGTAAATTTTCCAGTTTCATCATTGCCTTATAGATATTTGGATAATATTCGATACCATTCATAAAAAGAATCATCATGTTAGGGATCAAGCACTTTTTTTTGGGATGGGAGATGGGAGCGTAACTTTGAGCTCATCAAACACAATTTTATTTTTTAATTTTTTGTTAGCATTAATTAAAAAAGGTTTCACTCTTATGATTAAAGTAGATTATAATCATGCCGTATAGCTTCTCAAATACTTTTCCGTGTCTTTTTAGCAATACTTAAAATTTCTGTTGATCTGTCAACTGTTCGAATTTAAATCTTTCTCAGGTCCTCCCGGTTGACGGGTATTCAACCTAGCTCTATGAAAAAGTGCATAGTGGAGGGTTTGAAAGAAGGGAAAGGGAAGGAAAGGAGGATAGGAAAATGGATTGGCAAGGCGCATGCGCGCAAAGATGAACACAACATAATAGGCGATCGGACGGAACCATTTCTGTTAGCTTGGGGGGTGCGAAGTTTGCTAGTGGGACCGCCCAGTTCGTTGCAAGGCCGTCAGAATTTCCTCAAAAACAAGAAACAGCTGAAATAAATAGATTAAAAATTGTTTATGTAAAAAAATATTTATAAATATAAAAATAAATTAAGGCTTCTATTGTTCGGGTGTGTGATAGTTGTCGAGTTGCTTACATTTTTAATTTATTAATTCTTAAATAAAAGTAAGATTTGATAATATTATCTGTTTTAGTATAATGAGAACTTAAAAGACGAGAATTTCGGAGTCCTTGGATGAAGGTCAATGTCACTCCCCTCCGGTCTGGTGTCTCCCTGACCTCTCTATTGTCTACCTAATCCCTGTCAGCCACTTACACCCCTTTTCTGGTAGAAATTCTTTGGTCCATATTTTTAAGCATTAGCTATGAGAGAAATTAAACTCTTTTGTTGTCTACTATTTTGGGGTCATTTTTGTGTTTGAATTGTTCTGTTGTAGTATTACTCTAGAATTTATTTATTCATTCGGCGATAACTCAAAACAATTTTTATAAATTTAAATGATCAATTTTTTGAAAAACGGAACAAAAAGACAATATTGGTCTAATATCCCATACCAGTATACATTTTGGAAATTTTACGGATAAAAATTTATATTTATTTTTCCATATTTTTTATGATCGGGAGTTTCATTTTCCCATCAAAAATCTCAGAACCTAGAATTCTGTTCACGTCACCGTTGCTAGTCATGTGACCCCGGCGCCATTTTGGCATTCGCCGCATTGTTTGTTGTTACCGAGTTGTATTACACTACTCAAGACTTCTTTTAATTGCTGGATTTGATTTTCTAACATTTTTTTTCTGACATAATTTCGTTTTAGATTTTAATTGATAATTACAGTAATTCCTATATTCACCATATCAATTGTCCATTATTTGCTGATAAGGCATTTCGGGTTTTCTTTTTCTCCTTTCGCTGCCCGGCCTCTCCAAGTACAATTCTACAAAATCGTATTCTGGCGGGAGAAGTTTTAATTTCTAGTATTGTCCGTTGAAATGTTCCTCAATTATAATATTTTTAAACCCTTTAATTTTTCTTAAATCCACAAATCGAATCCCCATACGTCTGTTTTGTACATATATTTTAAATCTTGAATTTCAACATAATTTGAGTTTCTTTAGGGTCCTTTCTTCTCGATCAGGGCGCTCCCTACCGGCGAACCTGCAACTACGAAATGGCACTGCGCGTACTCTGTTTCGTCCGTGTTAAAACTTATTTATTGTCGTAGTACATATAAATCGTTATTATTAGTACATAATTATTTGAAATTGAAACAGTGTAATAACTTCGACGTATAAGCTTCATGTTTGGTTTTCTATTTTATGTGTTTTGAGTGTTAAGTGAATCGTTTGTGTACGACTTAGCCTGTACATCTTTAAGGTTACCCATTTATAATAAAGCATCTCCTCCCTATATTTTGGTGTTTAAAAAATTAATAAAAATAAGTCGTCTCCACATATCGTTGGACATTTAAAGTTATGAGGATGTGTTTTTAGGTATGTTTCTTTGCCTGAAGTTAATATTTACAAATTGGGCTTTTCTGGTAAGCCTATTAGAAGTAGGACAGCCATTTTGAATTTTTCTTTTAATAATTTTGCTCATAATTAAAAATTATAATAAACCACATCATTGATTCGTTAATGACATTATTTGTTGATATCTAAATTTTTATCAATTATTTCATGATATGTTTTGACTGCTTCATACCAGAACATACTTCACACATGTTTAAATGCCACAGTTTAATTAAGTTTAATTATTTTTTTCAGGACTAAAGCAAGAAAAATGATGGAAACAGAGCCTGAAGAAAATGAACCATCTGAATCATTTTATAAACAAGTACAAGGAGAAATTCCTAATGAAGGTCTGTGTACAAACATGTAAACTATAATAAGTTATTTAAAACATAAACTAATGCAATCCTTTTCTTTTCTAGATCCTTTAAAACTTAATGGAGACATCAATGGATCACGGTTTCCTATACCATCTCCATATGATGATTCGTATCGGGAAGAGGATGAGGAAGAAGAAGAGGAAGAAGCCTCTTCAGAAGCACATACTAATGGTGAAGTAACTGTTGAATTAGTGCCTTCACAAGAAAATGGAGTAGATAACATGGATGTAGATAGTGAAATTATGCATGATGATGAACCAATGGATGCTAGTGATGTTAATGGAGATGTTAAGTCACCCGTTATTGACAGTGATAGTTATAATTCCGTTAAAAAACTTGGTGTATCGGATGTTTCTGATGAGGATAGTGTTAGTGCAATAGAAAGAAATGAAAATTCAGAAAATGTCGATCCGTTAGCAATCAGTGAACCTGAGGGTAATAAAGATGGAGAAAGTGGTGATGCGCAAGAAGACAACATTGGTTATGACGAAGAAATTAAAATTACTGAAGAAAGGACAATGTCGGAATCGACTACAAGCAAAGATATGGAAGACTTAGCTAGGTTAAGCTCCCATGGATCTCTTGAAATTACATTAGTTAAAACTCCTATGAAATGTACTTCAATTCGTAAAGAGGAAGAACCTAAAGATGAAATCAGTGTTCATTCTGGTGATAAAGAAGACAAGGAAGCAGAAGACTTATCTTACAAAACTCCCGAAAAAGGTCCTGATGATGAAGACTCTGTTATTGAAGTTTCTCCTGAAAAAACTCCTTCTAAAAAGAAAAAAGAAAAACTTCCACCTACTCCACCAAGTGTGCCTCCTCGCAGGAGTTCTCGCAACCTAAATAAAACTAAATCTTATGCTGATAAAGATATCTTTATTGATGATTTGGATAAAAAATCTGATGATGAAGTTGAAGAAGTAATTCTTACTGATCCGTTAGCTGATGTTGGAAAAAAGACACCCAAGAAAACTACAATCGTTGTAAATGATACTAAGAAATTAGTTGAAATAGCTGCTGGCAGTAAGCAACCTCGGGGAGCCAAAAAGGAACCAACCCTGGTCATAATTGATACCAATTCAATTCTTTCCGGTAAGGGAGCTGTTCCTGTTGGTCAAGCCACACTCCCTCAAATGAGCATAACTCCTTCAGGCAGGTCATCTTCAGGATTTTCAATGTTACCTGTTCCAGCTGCATTTGTGAAACAGTCTTCTAAGTCAGTCGTAACTGCAACACCAGTACCCCAGCAACCAGCACCTCCTCCTGCACAGCCTAAACCAGCTGTATTACCTTCATTAACTGATGATATGTTTGTAGTTGAAGCTCCATCATTTATAGTCCCTTATGTTTATGAAAAACCTCCAGTGACAGCATTAAAAGAATATGTGAAAGATCTTGAAAAAGCTATTAAAGAACATGAAAAAGAGGAGAGGAAAAGAAGGAAAGAGGAAAAGGAGAAAAAAGAAGATAAAGCTGATGACAAAGTGTTGTCTGATAAAACTGATGATAAAATGTCAGTTGATAAGGAAGATGAAAAAGGTGAACCATCTAAGCCTCTCTCTGAAGTTTCTGTAGAAGCTGATTCAAAACCGGAAAGTGAGACAGTATTAGATACTAACGATGATACAAAAAAAAATCATGCTGAAACAGAAGTAGTACCTACTGAAAATGATGAAAAAAGTATTCAAAAGGATGAAAAGGAGTGTAAAAGTGATACAGAGACAGATGAAGAAGGAAAAGATAGTGATTCATCCAGCCGAAAAGATAGTGATGGTGTTGAAATGCTTCATGAAACCAAGAAAAAGAGTGAATCATATTTTGATGGACCACTTGGAAAGTTTTTTATGCAAATAGGTGTTAACTTAGTTCAAGAGCATGTTCAATCAGATTTGTTACGAAATCAAAAACGAAAACGAGATAAAGAAGGAGAAAATTGCCCTTTAGAGGTTCATATGGCAATATCTTCACTAACCAAGACTCTTGAGTTTAGTAAAGAAAACAACGAACCTTACAAATTAGACTTGAAGAAATGTAAATTATGTAATTTTAAAACTGAATCTGCTCTTGTTATGGCACATCACTTAGAAACTCCTCACATGAGGAATTATGTTTATAGATGCAACTTTTGTACTATGGAAGTTCGAAGTCCACATGACATTCTTTTTCATATGGAAGCTGAGCATAATGTTAGAGGGAGGTTAGAAAGAGCACCCGCTTTTCATCAGTGCCCCAATTGCCCATTTGAAGATAACCAAAAAGGAAAACTTAGTCGGCATCTACTTTCTTGTGCCAAGAAGTACAAACCGGAAAGGAATCAGGTATTAGCATGTTTGTTAAATTAAGACTTTTTTTTTACTCTTCCTTATGTGTTTCTAATAACTTAAAATCGTTTTTGAAGTTAGTTTTGAATAAATTTTTGGAAACCTTTTAATTGTTTGAAGTTCATCATAATACTGAAAAATTATTCAACCCTTCATAAAATGTACTTGAAGTAATCTGTACTGTTTTCCAAAATTCCGCTGCTGGCCTTTTTTATTTATATTTTTTTTTAGTATAAAAGCCTTTGTGATCATCAATAACATGCATGTTTATCTGTTATAAAATATTTTTATAATTAATTATCCGATTAGCGTTGAAGGAAAAAGAGTGAAAATGTTTTAAGTACTATTTTTTATTTGTTCTACAACACATTTGTTAATAAAGTAATAATTGTTACAGAGATTGTTATTTTCAGGAACCTACATTGGATTGGGAACCACCTGCTAAAATTCCAAGAGTTCGAGGCCCTAGAGCTGCTGGACTTGGTCTGGGTGCTTACCAGCCCTCGATTGCCCCCAGGGGGGTTGCCCCGCCTGTTGGGGGGAGATTACCCTCCCCCTCGGCGGGACATTCCCTTCTTCCTAGGGGCAGAGGGAGGCCGCCAATATATGTCAACCGGTCTGTCAGCGGGGATGCTAGGCATCATGCCAAAACACTCTCCGCAATTCGACCAGGTTTGTATCAGATTTCACAATATGATCTATTGATAATGAGTTTCATGTTACAGCTTTGTTTTAAGAAAAACAATGGTAATTGACCAAGTAATTGTATTAGGTAGAAATTTGTTATTGTTAAAGTAGCCATGTTTAAATCAAGTTTATCAGTCACTTGACAATATAAGTCTAGTTCTTTAGTTACTAAATATATAAAAATACTTATTAATTCATATTCTAGTTCTAATACTGCTTACACAGCATGAGGTATTTGTCCTTAGTACTTGGTGTCCCTCCTCCCTTTCCTCCCCAAAAAGTCTGCCAAGTGAGGTATATATATTCTCACCATTTTCGTTGGTTATACAATTATCTGTATTTCAAGAATTATAATTTTTATTTTGAGAATAAAATGTTGAGAGAAGCTGATTTCGAAATAAAGTAATCCTTCAACATTTGTGAATTTTATATCCATGAAGAGTTTTGTTGATCAGCAAGTGCAGAAATGCATTCACATTTGTGGTTTGATTATTCCAGATGACAAAAGAAATCTTAAACTAAAACTCAAATACTCATAACTCTATAAAATAAATTAAACCTAACTATGTTCACAGCCATTAATATTGTTAACCAGTTATTTATATTAATTTTAATTGTTATATAGAATTTAATATAATTGATAAGAAGCAATTTTTACACTATTCTCCACATTTCCTCCAACTTAAGGTCAAATTGAACACAAGCCACTTTCTAATCATAAGCTTGTCAAAAACAATATGTTTGCAAATTACGAAAGCAGATGAATTTTTTTAAAGTAGTGAATAGAATATGCTGAAAATTATTACTTAATCATTAGTTTGTCAGCCCCTAACTTTCCTCCAAATTTGGCCCAAATTGAATGACCTGTTTTTGAGATATAGGTGCATCCCGAAAAGTATGTTTGCACATATTTAAGAGTAGTAATGAATAGAATTTAATAAAATTGGCACAGTATCATTGTTTTACAATTTCCCATTTTTGTACCAACCTTGAGCCAAATCGAACTAGCCATTTTTGAAATATTGGCATATTTAAGAAAATGAATTTATCTGTATGTAAGTGAAAGCATTGGATAGAATTTGATAAAATTGATTTGACGCCATCCAGGCATCAACCCCTACAATACTGAATATTTCATGAAAATCGAATTAACTGTATTAAGTGATATGCCCATCACAGCGATATGACTACAGACTGACAGACATCGACAAATTTAATCCTTCATGTATGAAACATTAAAGGCGAGTGGAAATTTTTGATTCTGAGCAAAAAAGGTTTTTTAACCTCAACCTCTCTCGCATGAAAAAAATAACTCTTAAATTCAAAAGTTCATATAAACATTGATCAGAATTTGAAGTCTATTCTAGGTCATAAACATAGAGAGAAAAATTGCTTTTTTTTTTTTGTTGATGGAAACATTTTTTAAACTAATACCATGGAGATAATTAGGTGTTGAATGGGACTAATAGCAGCTCAATAGTTCAAACACATCTTAGTAAATTGTGTGAGGAGTTAATATGATAGTCAAGGCAGGATATATCTGAAACATTTCTATAAAACTCTTAGATTCATAAACATTTTGAGTAATGTTCAAGTAGGAGTTTCTATTAATTGTCTGGTTTGGAGTTATGAATTATTGATGGAAAATGCCCTGAAATTTGAAGAAAAAAAAAACCTAATGAGCATTGTCTTGGCATATGACCTTGATTTTCTTAAACTTTTCATTCTTAACTCCTCACCTCATTTCCATTCCTGGCCTTAAGATTTGAGTTCCATACCGAATTCATTGAATGAAGACTCGTTTCCTTTGAGGACTTTGTTGGAAAAGTTGCCATTCTCTTCAGCTCACTATCAGTCCTCTCTTTATCTGCTGTTTTTTTTTTAGAAAAAAGGATTGAACCGTTGTCGTACTTAGTTTGATGAGGGTGTTCATGAATGCAAAAACTGAATTGATCCCTGACCCCCATCCACATCTTCCTCATGAGATTCTAGGAAAATTATTTATATAAACTTTCTAGACAAATCTTGTAATTAATTTTTAATTTTAACAATCTTTAATGTTAATAATAGGCAATATTATGAGAAGATCGTGGTGGATTTTAGAGCTGACAATTCTCGTCTTAAGGAAGGGAAGGTATATCAAATTATAAAACCTTACCAATGGATTTCTAGACATATTCATCAGTTTTCTTTGTTTTTATTATTATTATTATTTTTTTTTTTTGTTTTATTTGCTTTTTTTCTTTTCCTTTTTATAAGTCCAATTTTTATTCTAATGTTAATGATCTGTACATCCTTAGGCAATGATGACCACAATGTGTTAAAACTGTAATTATCACCTTTTTAGAAATGCTCTTATATTTAAATATAATTTTTTCTTTGAAAAATTATTGAAATACACTTGTTAATATTTATTGAATCTTTCATTGTTTGTAATTCTTTACTATTTTTTATCAGGTGTCGTATTCAGGCCATCTGGTTCAAATGCCCAGCCACAAGTCCTTTTACCTTCTAGCTACCCAATGGCTACTAATTCCTTATACCAGGTAATTTGTTCACTATATTTTAGGAGTTTATTTTATAGTAGAATATTTTCTTAATACATAATGTCAAGTGCTATATAGTTCTGCCAATAGAATTATAGTAGACAGAAAAATTTATGAATAGTTAATAATTATAAATATTACTTATTTTTCAACATTTTCAGCCCCATGAAATTTTTCTAGTGGAACATAGTTTTTTCATATTTTTTGTTATTTCTTTTAGATACTCTGTAAATATTTTTTTAAATTCAATTTATTAAAGGCGGGGTACACACGTTACGATATACATGTTAGGCAAACCAGAAAAGTATACCTGCCCAGGCTAGAGCACACACGCTACAGTAAATTGGAAGATTTTAACTTAGTAGAGAGATGGAGAGCAAACAAAAAGACGGTGCAATGCTGCACGATTGCTTTTATTGATTAAAAACTGTACTAACTAACCTAAAAACTGTACAGATATACTGGGATGACTCGCACACATGTTCAGGTCTATATGCCTGCGCAGTTAGGAAATACTAAATTTCAATTCTTTTTCACAAATTTCAAGTCGCCTGTGCACTTTGGCCCACATGTTCCAATTCACCTGTACAGGTGACCTATACATCAAGTATATTAATGAGAGTGGGACAGTTTTTATTCTTATAACAAAAAGAAATATTTTTGTTGATGGCAATCTTTGCCACGTTATTTTTAGTTTCATCATTTTTTATCTTATTATATCGCTTTATGTTGAATACTAGTTAAATAGAAAACTACTATTTTAAGAACTATTATTTGTTTTTTAGTTTCATGATAACATTGATTAAATTTGGATTTTAAATTAAGTAATGCTCTGAAAATTTGTATTTACATATTTTGTGTATGTAGTAATAGATATAGTAAATATGAATACAATATAATATAAATATAGTAGTGAATATCTACCAAAATCTAGTTATTACACTGAGATTCATGAAGTTTTTTTGCTACAATTTGAAATGTATATTATCTTGTGCTCTGCCATTAAGTAGAGATCTGCTCGGTTTTTTGGAGTGATCTTTGTATGCTTTAAAATGACCAGCATGAGAAGGAGTTGATCGGGGAGTGCGATCAAATAAATACTAAATTCAACAAATAGTATTATTTAATTTTTGCCAAAATTTGTTTAATTTAGTATTTATTTGACCGCACCCCCCGATCAACTCCTTCTCATATTATATCAATGGTCAACCATCTCTACATCATTAAAATGATTAGCATACAAAATGATCATAAAGCAAGGTCTATGTGACTGTATATTGTTTATACTATATTTTATTGTTAATGTTTCACATCATACTATTTATGAAATTATTGCAGATTTGTGTTTTCTTATGCAATGAATGACTGTGTGAAATATATTTCTGTTGTCAGTTTTATTTGGTTACTATTGTATTAATTCATCACAAAATATTGATATTGTTACATTAACCTGTTGAAGCCAACATCTGCCTGCGAAAAGTGATTCATCAAGTGCCTTTCTATATTACAAGTAATGTGTTTAAATAAGGTAAATCATATTTCAATGCCAAGAGTGATATAAAAAAACAATAGTGAAAAACTGGAACATTTGTTTTTATCAAACTAGTCAAAAAGACGAGGAATAAAAGAATTGAAATGAAGAATGATTTCTCTTATCAACCTGTCTTTCTGTTATAAATATTTAGTTGTTGATTTGGAATAACAGCAGTATTCTTCTTCTGGTGAATCAAGTATTGTTCATAATAAGTGAATGAAGTATAAGACAATTAAAAAGGCTGTTGTTATTTTGGAGTGTTTTCATTACAAATTCTTTGCAGTGCTTTATTTGTTTTTTCTTATTTGTATATTGTGTTATAATTTACAATATATTAAGTAACCAAAATGTGCGTGTGCGGACTGTGTTTATAAAAACATAAATATGCAGTGGAAGTTTCATCAATTGGCCTGATAATAATATTGGCATTTTATTACTGACTTATATCCCATTATTAATTATATAGTTCAGCTTGCCACCTGTGAAGTAATAGAAACAATAAATTAATGATCTGGGATAAATATAAAAAATTATCCTCAGAATTATATGTAGAATGTCGTGAGTGCAATTTCACCATATTTTCCTATACAGTAGGTGGTGTTCATAAATTAAAAAAAAAAAAATTAAATTCATATAATTTGTTTTCTGCGATAAAAAAATTACTTGTTTCTCTGTGTGTGAATTAAATAATCTTGAATACATATTTCTAAAAAATTCAGCTTTACATTAATTCCTTTATTTCGTTATGAAAAATAGACACACTAAATACATAGTGGCTAAATGTATTGGATTTTTTTATTTCTTACAACTAGTGATTAGTAATGTATTTATTATCTTATAGGATCAGTTCATTTAAATTTTAAATAACATATCATTAAGCTTGATTATTTTCATCCTTTTTACGTTACCTCAAATCCTGTACTAGTTTTAATTCATCAATCCAGTACTTATTTAATAATTAAGAATCCGTCTCAGATTAATATTCAGGATTTGCAGTCTAGATATGTTTTATTATTTGTTTACACTGCAAATCCTGGTTATTTTCATAATTAAAACAAAAAAAAAAAGTCAATGAAAATATTCATCTCTAAATTAATTATGATTTCATATGAACTTCTGACTCATGGACCATGATTTGTTACTTTTTTAAAATCTATTTAATTCTATTGATTTTGATGTATATTTGCATATCATAACTGAAATATTCAACCTCTAAAGGTAATATTGGAATTGCTTTTTATAATATGAAACATTTGATTTTATTGGTATAAATATGTTTGTTTTATTCATGAACAGGTTAAAATGCTTAGTATAATAATTATAAAATTCATTGAAAACTTAACTATTTAATGCACATAAATTATGATTTAGTGTTTTGCTAATTTAGTTTGATTTTATCATTTATTTGGTCAAAGGAAGAAACTAATAGAGAAATCCTTTTTACCACTGAATGTGTGAATTTTTTTGCAAAAGTAGTGTTGTATTTCACATAATTAGATGGTTGTTCCAGGCCATTATTTCCAAGCTGTATGTTTTTTTTTTTCATTTAGCTGTTAAACTATAGCCTAATATAATTCCTGTTTAAATAATGAATTGATTTTTACCATTTGATTGGTTTCACAATCTTGGGTTTCTAGTTCAGTCAGTCATTATGTTATTTCCTTTCTTAGAACAGTCAAAACAGAATGCAGTTGGTACATTAATTTTTGAGCCTGTATTAAGATATTTTATTATTGATCATTGTGGTGAATTTTCTCTCATCATTGCATATACTTATAAACTTTAATTTATGTGCCTAACAGCATTAATTGATATATTTAATGTATTGACATATTACTAAGCCTTTTATCTCTGTTCCACCTATCTCTTGAAATCAAGTTTTTCTCATTGTTCTTATTATAATTAGCCAATAAGAGTTTTTATTATGTGCTTATTATAAATATTCTTTTATTAAATTAATCGCCTTATTCCGGTAAAGTTTTCGATATGGTCGTGTATTGTGTGTTGGCGTAGGTTGACAATGCGTCTGGTTTGCCCCTTCCACTGCCTATTGCTCTAGTATCAAATGCAGGCTCCTACTCACAGGTACCAAAACAGAGAACATTCTATGTCATTTATTGTTTAAATTTCTGCACTCAACCTCACATCCTTATAACACATTAATGCATGCATTTTTTTTTTTTTTTTTAATGATTATTGTTTTGGTTATTTGTACGATTGGATTCCTTCAATGTTTCCTAATATTAAAGATATCAAAATTTTTTAATCTGTGTGCTGTTTGCTTCTTAAAAATTACATTTAATGGAGAAATTTAATGATGTTATTACACTAATTAATAGTTAATATTAATTGTAGTTCCATATTGTAGGGATCGTGATTGTTGATACTTAGATGGTCTAATATAGACTTTATAATTTCCTTCACTTTTGATGATTTATTTGTAGTATGTTAGTAAAACAACCCAATGATCCCTATATTGAAAGTTTTTTGAGATGAGTTTCATTCTGTAGTGTTTTAATTTTTATTAACTGTAATACTATTATGTTTCTCAGCTTTTTTTTTCGTTTTTAGACTTACTTTTTATTTATTGTTGATTATAGATAAGTGCAGAATATTAATTTTTAAAATAACCACTAAAATTCTTAGCTCCCTAAATAAATTTTAAAGAAGCATTCTTTTTATTCAAAACGCTGATATCATATGGTTAGAACATATTAGATTGTTACAAAAGTCTTTGTGCATAAAATATTTTCTATTTAAATTTTAGTGCAAAATCTACACATTAAAATCATTTTTCAAAATATAGGCCATCATTGTCAATTACTTTAATTCATCTTTATCGCAGATGTTGAGTTTGGTGGTGATGTTATTCCTTTGTTTTTGAGTCAAAAAACTCAAATCCTTTAAAAATGGCTCATTGACCGAAAAAGACCTTAGTCAGTGGTGCAATGTTGGTATGTTAGGGTTGTTAGGCCAGTTTCAAATCGAGTAGATAGTTGATTAAACTTAGTTGTCCTGTAGATCTATAAGTTGAATCAAGTGTAAAGAAATGAAAGAAACTATACTCCCGTCAAAAGTATTGCCACACTTTGGAATATTTGAATTTTGTAAGAAATAATTTTTTTTTTTTTTCATAATAAAGAAAGGTTCTGAAGTCTATGCATACATTATGTCATACATTTTCAAACTGAACATAAACAAGTTTTATTAAAATAAATCATAATATTTCTTCCAATAAACAAACAAGTTAAAAAACTTACTTTTTAAAATTTTAACTTTTAAATTACAATTTAAATTTTTTTAAATTTTCATTTAATAAGACGTATTGCTCCCTCTGGCTTGAATGACTGCTCCCGCTTGTCTTGGCATACTTGTAAAAAGATTTTGAAGAAAATTTTGGGGTATATTGTCCCACTGCTCCAATACCAGATGCCTTATGCATTTCAAGGGTAGTAGAAGGTGAATTTCCTGGCCGAACCTTTCTTTTGAGATAATTCCAAATGTGCTCGATTGGGTTAAGGTCAGGACTTCCTGCTGACTAATCAATGGTGTGAATATTTGTGATATTCAGGTACTCAGAAACACATCTTGCCTTGTTGACAGGCATTATCATGCATGAGCAACTAGAGGTTATGAACGGTATAAAACGCACTACATAATCTTGAAGAATCATTTCTACATACCACAGAAGCATTCCTTCCTTGGATTGGAACTAACTCAGTACATGCCTCCCAAGTTATGCATTCCCCAGAACATGGTAGACTCCTCCCCTCCCCCAAATTGATTCAGTTACTAACATGCGACACTGACTATATTGTTCTCCAGTCCTCCTCCAAACTCTTTCACAGCCATTGTTAAGAGCCTTTCTCGTCTCGTCAGTGGATAAAACTTTTTCCCATTCCTCCACAGTCCAAGATTAGTGCTAATCTCAATCTCTATACGAGGTGTTCTATGGTTAGAAGAGGACCTTTCACTTACCTTCTTGCTCTGAGGTTTGACTCTCTCAGTGTTCTAATGAAAAATCTCATTCAATGTAAAATGAAATAAAACAAAAACGATAGTTGGTGTATAAAATTAAATAAAGGATTAGTCGAAGTTAGCGATGATGTATGGATTGTTTATGTAACAGTGAAACAAGGAACAATCTTAATGTTAGTAATGGATTGATAAACAAAGGCTTTGATAACAACCTAGTGAAATATTAGATTGTTTTAAAATTCATTTCTATGATTTTTAAAAACTGTATTTTGAAATATATTACTGTTAAATTTGCTGTTATTTTTAAATTTGTATTTGTTATGTGTTATTGGCAAAAATTAATACAAGAATTATTGCTTCGAAGTTGACTAATTGTTCTTTTCATGCATGAATGATTGCTATTCAATCTAGAATGGTGCTCTAAATTTACAAGCTTTTTACATCCATTAAATAAAAATATTGATGTTTATGTGATGTCAGGCTTGCAGTTATTTACTTTAAATTTCAAATAGATGTTAGTAAAATAATTTTGTATTATCTATTTTTAATTATTATTTAATTTATGTTATATTATGGTTTTACTTTATTTTTTTGTTATTTTATGTAGTTACTAATTGATTTCGAATTTTTAAATGTATTATTAATTTTTATGTAAGTTATTTATTTTTTTTATTTCAATAGCTGTAGTTTTTATAATTTGCAACATCTTAACCTATTTTTCTTTAACTTATAGCAAGCAGGTCATTTCACAAGAAATGTCACTTTTTCAAGATAGCATGACTAAAATTTTAATGATTATAGTATAATTTTACATATTAGCTTTTTATAAATGATATTGAAGGTGTAAGGGAGTTAACATAGTGCGAGTAGCTAAAGCCAAACTGTAAATGCGAGTTTCTATTAACTTGGATAGGATACCTGGCAATGAAGCAAGAAAATTTATTCATATTTCTAGCTTCTTTCTTGCTTGCATTCTTCCCCTCTTTTAGTTTTTATTATGTTGGAACTACTAAGTTTATGAAACTTGAATTGCTTAGAATCAATCTTATTACTCCAGGTGATTTTCCTGATATATTATATAGCTCTATTTTAAGATACAAACTTCTAATACCAACACTTATTTTTTATTTTCAACATTTTTTTCCATTTTTGCATACAGTATGTTGTAAAGATCTTATCACTGTCCGTGTTAAAATATATTTTTGTTGATTTGACATAATTTTCTGTTCAACTAGCGAGCTCTGTTTCATACCAGAATCTGGCAAGAAAAATTTCATTTTAGTTGTGAAAGCAGCAATTGACATTTTTTAAGTTGTCATAACAGTAACTGTCTAATTGCTAGAAAAGCTATTTGCACTATGTATCGAACCTACTCTGAATTGCCATTTTACTTTTACTAATTAATAGATTGTTATTGTTATTGTATTCACTTTATATTATTTATGGTCACTCCCAAAAGTGATATTTCATGTGGTACACACAGAAAATGGAAAATTTTTAACAGTTATTTCTATAATGTATTTTCTTCCGTATTATATAATGAATATTTACATCATCTGTTTTTATTTTATTGAGGTCTTTTAAAACTTAGTACTATTGTACTAAGGACATCATGTACAGCAGTTTTGTATATATTTCTTTTAAGTCTTTGATCACTTCCATTAAATTGTATTCTAGTTAAATATTTGTTTTGCTTCTTTCTTTTTTAAAGCCCATTGTTTAGTTGTTTTTAAAAATTGAATTATTACTTATTATGCTTATTGATAACTTATATAACTTTTACTTATTTGTTTATTTTGCTGCTATTCATTGTAATTTATTGCTCTCCGCTAAACTTTCATAATGTTATCTCACAATTTTATCATTCCTCATTTTAAAATTCTGCAGTCCATGTATCCCATATAAATCCTTCAAAAGCATTCTTGGTCGTACTGAACTCTGCCATGATGATATTTTTAGTTGGGCTACCACATAAAAAGTAAAAATGTAAATTGTATTCATTGTCGATTTGATTTTACAATTCTATCATGGGGTGTGTCCTTTAATATACTTAAATAATGTTCTAATTCCTATATTTCAGGAAATACATTATTTGGACCTTAATTGGATAACAGGGTTGACATAAAGAACCCACATAGATCTAAAAGAAAATCACTGAACAAACCATTTAAATATCCAGGTTGATTTGACAGACATTCCAAAATGTTATTGTTAACGAACGAATTTGCCATCTACAAAATACTTTTAAAAAAACATTGTGGGCTTACAGAATTAAGATAGGGGACATTGCTAAACTCTTTAACCCTCCAGAAAAGTCATTCATTCCAGTCAAAAGCATCACAAAAAAATAGTGAAAAATATAGTATAAAAGTTCATGAGAAATTAAGATTTTAGCTTATCAAGAATGAAAAATTTATTTACAAAAATGAATTTTATTATATATTTGAAAAAATTGAGAAATGTGGCTAAAGTAAAAAGCTAAGGAAATTTTCAATTTCCCAATTTTTCAATCAAACAGCCTATGAGAAAGAAAAAGTAACAAATAAAATCCAGGTCACCTCCGATGATAAATATTTTAGCATTTTTAATATATCTTTTTTTTCCTTTCTTTTCTTCAGTCTGTTGTTTTCCTCTAACTTCACAACTGCTGTATCATCATGCCTAGTATCTTCAAAATATGTTTCTTATGATTCTGATGTATATTTTTTTAATTAAAAAATTCATTTTAGATCAAAAATAGATAAAGTGCCATCCAGATTTGATAAATTTTTTCGTTTTAAATTCTTAAAATAATATTTTTCCCTTAACTACTGGGACAGTGGATGTAATAACAATACCAGAATCATAAAAAGTAATTATTATTATCTGGTCATATTATTTAACTTTGTTACCATATTATTATTATTTTATTAATTAATATTTAATTATTTATTATTTAATAATTAATAAATACTTCTATCATCCTTTTATTATTGTTGATTTATTGACTTCTTGAGCCATTGACGTGCAAGTTGTAAAAATACATTTAGTCAGTAGAGTGCTGTATACCAATATATTTATATTGGTTTAAATATAATATAGTTCTATGTTATGCAGTAAAATTATATATATGATTTAATTCATTTTAAATTATTTTAATTTTTATTTATTGTTAATATTCATATCATCATAATGAATAGTACTTTTTAATAATATCAATGATATTTTTTTGAAAAAGAATTTTGTTGACTGACCTTAGGCCAATAATTGTTTTAAATAATGTTTTGATTATCTTATTCAGCATTTTCTGCAGAATTTATATGTAGAAAAAGAAAAAAAAATTGGAATCATAAATTTATATTATTATTTCTGGAAATCAACTTATTGCTAATAAACAATTTTTCAATAGTAGCTGTTATAGGTTTTATCAAAACTGGTCAGGTAATAATTACTAAAAATCTTATTTATAATGAAAGTATATTCTGGTTGTTATTATTTCCACTTAACAAATTTACAAAAAATTAAAACATAATATTTATGTACGTTTATAATAATAAAATCAATTTAGCTTGGCTTAACATTAACCCCTACGTAAGTGTAGCAGCATGTATGTCTTGTTTTGCAGTGTCGATTAATAAGATAATGAAATAATGTTTTGAATGGGACATGTATTCATTTATTTATAGTAAAATTTATTTGCTACCCTATATTAATCTAAATTTATATACATTCCTTGTTTCAAAATCATTCATATAAAAAATATAAAATTCTCTTCTTTTTTTTTTAAATTTCTTAGTATATGCTGATATTATATTTTATTTTGTTCTACACTGTGGATTCTTAGCATTGCTATTTTCTTTAATGTATGAATTAAACTCATTTAAGTTTTAATTTGTTATTTACCATACTGTAATTTTGTAATGCAAATAATATGTTAATTTTCATTTAGAATCCAGCTGCTGTTGCTGCTGCTGGAGCTACGGCAAAGCTGTTGCAGCAACCATCCATTTCTATTACTCCTCTCCCAAGGCAACAAGGTGCTACCACAGCAACTTCTGCTTTGGCAAAACCTGGTCGCCCACCAGGTTCTGTCAAAACAACATTTGTCATCTGTGAAATATGTGATGGTTATATAAAGGTAATACATCTTTACAGTAAAATAACCAGTTAGGTTGTTTTATTTTTTAATACGTGTTGAGTCATGATAAGTTATTTGCTAATAGCTTAGTTTATTGTGTCAAATAATTTATTAAATTATCACGTTTAAAGTATAACTTCTTTAGGAGTGACTTAAGGTACTGTTGTTTTGTTCGACTGTCCACTATAGCAACTGTTGGTAGTTGAGCACTGCTCAGCCGTCTAATTATGGTGTCATGTCCATACTGCTTCTTTCTAACTGCTACAGAAGCAGTGAAGTTGTTTGGCAGTACGACAGTTCTCATTAGCAGTTACTTTCCTACTTTTCATGCCCTTTTTTATTTAAGTCCAATAAAATTTAATGAAAAATTGTTTAAAATTCAAACAAAGCTATAACAAATAATTTCTGTAAGATTGAAGTAATAGAAAGTATTTAGAGAGGGATTCAGATATACTTAAACCCAAATAAAATTAAATAATGGGGAAAAATTAATATAAGTAAATTCTTGAATCTAAACATTAAGAAATCACTTTGTTTGGAACGTAAAATATTACTCATATGTAGTACACGGCTTGTACGAAACATATTTCAGATTTATTAAAATATTTGTTTCTAAGAAATAATCCACTTTTCAAACTTAAACTTTGTTCATTATCTGGTTGACGATATTCAGACTTCTGTCTGTTTCCAAGTTCAGAAATTATATCTCGTAGATCAGAAAAAGTAATCAATGGTAAATAAATCTTATGATTTATTTATTTTTTAAAATCATCACACGAGTTCTAACTGCCTACTTCAATTTTTGACAAAAAAAGAGTCAGGTAACTAATTGAATTTTAACCATGTGTATTTGTCAAATATAAGTTTTTAAGCCGTTTTGAGTTTAAACTAAATGGTAAGGTCATTAGCAGTGAAATTAGGCCCCCTCCCTTTTTTTTTAACTGAGAGAATTGAGTTGTGCAATGTTAAAATTTAGTGATGTAAAGATTAAAGTTTTTATTTGTTTATTTTTTTCTAAACTTACGAGGCACTGCAGCTTAAGCTATGATATAATATTCAATTTTGATTAAACTCACCTTTTTTTCTTTAAATTTATTTCACTCAATGTTCCATATGTTTCCGATTTGGCCAAATCCAGATACCTATCCTTCCATAATAAACTTCATAACCATCTGAATCCTCTTGTTTCTAACCTTGCTTCCTCTTCGATTCCTGATAACCCTCCGAGGCGTCTGAAAAGAAGATGGCCTCGTGATCTTCTCATGTAGACAAATTATTAGAGTGCTACCAGCGGGTAGTTTCTCAACAAGCGTGTTTCATGTAATAATATTTCTCTGTACAAATTTACTTGATGTATTCATACTAATACAGTTGTAAATATCATAATAAAAGTTTAAAAAAAAAAAAAAAAAATTATTTCAACCTGTGTATAGAATTAGGATATTAGGTGCATCTACTAATATTGCAATATTGCTGTTGGCTCTAATTTAATGTCTGTTACCTGGAAAAAAAAAAAAAAAAAAAAGTTTTATATTCATACAATAAATGAAAAAAAATATATATACATATATTTATTATTATTTTGAAGATGAATTTTTCTTATTTTCGATAATTACGGTTAAGCTGCTTAAGCTATTGTTAGAAATATATTTTTGTTGATATAACTAAATTTATAAATTATTTGAATAATTCCTACATTTATGGTCTTATTAATTTGTCTATATCTTAGCTCTGTTCTTGTTTAATTTTTTTTTTTTTATTAATTGATTTTACTGACTGAGTCAATATTTTTATAGGACTTAGAACAACTCCGAAATCATATGCAATGGATTCATAAAGTGAAAATCCATCCAAAAATGATCTACAATAGGCCACCTCTCAATTGCCAAAAATGCCAATTCAGGTTTTTCACAGATCAAGGCTTGGAAAGGCATTTGCTTGGTTCACATGGTCTTGTAACCTCAAGTATGCAGGAAGCTGCTAACAAGGGAAGGGATGGTGGTCGCTGTCCAGTTTGCGGTCGGGTGAGTAAAATATTGCTTTTATTGGATTTATTCTTGTATTTTTAGTTGTTTTAAGCCCATAGTATTTTTATTTCAAAGGACTGATGAAATAAATTTTATTATTTTCAATGAAAATAAATTTGTGTATCCTAAAAAGCCAAAGAAATTGATGCAAACAAATAAATCTTTACATTAAAGTTTAGAACTTTGTAATTAGTTATCTTTGTTTCTCTTTTGTTTAATTTATTTTGTAAAAAGTTACCAATAACAAAAAGTATGCTAAGTAAGTTCATACAGCTTCCTCATCATTTCTATTGACTAGACAAGGAAAAAATAAATTGTTTTGTTATTTATTGAATTAATTGTTTATATTGACATATTTCAGAAAATTTGTCCCATTCTTACTTCTTTAGCACCACTGATGTTTGAAAACTGAATATAATATTTTTTTTTTAATTAACAAATCAGTAATTTAAACTCTTATATGACTCTCCTGTCTTATTTGTTTATTTTTGAACAGATTTCGTACCCATTTTATTCTCAGCATTTAGGTAAATTTGAATAGTTTAACAAAATTCGTTGCTTAACCATTTGTTCACTTCTCTCCATCTTTTCTGTTTGTCTAAATGAATGAACCACTTTTTAAATATTAGGAAATCGTGGAAAATGTGTTTATTGATCTGTAAATATAAATAGGATGGTGGTGTTTGAAAAAATTGATACTGGATCATTTTCCTTTAATCCCTATTCACACTCCAACTTTGGACATTGAAATATGGATATTGAAATAGAGAACTATCAATAAAATATGTTTTTGTTTCCTTAAGAGCCAAAAGAAGTGCATCAAATTTGTTAAAATTGATACTATCATTTTTCAACAATCCTTATTTAACATCCAACTTTGGCCCTGCTCGAACATGCTATTTTCAAAATATAGACATAGCAAGGAAAATATTTTTGTGAAAGAAGCAGTTGGAATTGTTAAAATTGATTGAGCACAATTTTTCATTGATTCGAACATTGTTCTAATTTAGAGCCAATTGGAATAAATATAGGCATCTCAAAGAAAATAAATACGACTGCACATTCATTAGCAAAAGTAATAGAATTTGATGAAACTGGTGTGGAAACATCTAAACACCATCTAGCACAATCCCTGAAAAATTGGATTTACAATAGTAGGTGATATGTCCTTCACATGTGTTAGACTACAGACTGACTACCGAATTAAATGTATTCCTCGTTGTATAAAACATCGTGAGTGGAAATTTTCGATGCTGAGTACAAAAACTTTGGTAACCTTCACCATACTAAACTTCTCTACCTTCAGCAGTAAGAAAGGAAAATTACCATAAAAAAATCTGGTGTTGTGCAACGCACAACTTTTACTTACCTTTCTACTTTAAATAGAAATTATTTTCTGGCAATGTTGAGCAATTATAAAATTTTTGAAGTGCACTATTAACGGAGCTATAGCTTAAGTTTACAGCACACAAATCATTAACATAATGAAAATAACGAAAACCCTATTAATTATATCAATGGTAGACATTAAAAACCTCAGTACTCCATCTGTTTTTGTAAACCGCATAACTCCAGTCTCTGAATAATGGATTGTATATATGCCTAGAGAGATTTGAAAGTATATCTCTACCTAGTCCTGTCATAAATATTGTTACTAGGTGATATGAACAGATTTCAACTGAAAAATTAATTTTTTCAGAAACTTTATTAGAACATGAAATGTATATCTATAGAGAGTAAAACAAAACATAAATTACTCAAAATGTCCCCCTTTTGCCTTGACACAGCCATTTAATCTCTGCTGCCAGTCATCATTAGCAGCACGCAGCATATTTTGAGGAAAGCGCTCAACTGCCCCAGTACAGAGATTGTTTGAGGCTTTCCAAGTGCTCTGTGGCATGCCATCACCTCCAGTTCGGACCAAAACCGATAATCTAGTGGGTTGAGAATCAGGGCTTTCTGAGGGCCAATCCAAGGCAGAGATGGACTATGGAAAGTTCTTTTGCATCCACTGCTGAGTTGGGCTGGCCTTGTGAGCTGGGGTGGAATCCTGCTGGAAAATCCAATGACTTCCAGCAAACAGAGTATCATTAGAGGCTTGACAATAGGCCCCAAAATATCGTTCTGATAGTTTTTAGTGGCTGTTTTAACTCCTTTTTCACAAAAATAGAGCTCTGTGGTGCCATCAAAGCAAACTCCCCACCAAACCAAACCATCACTGAGGAAGAGTGATGACCTCTTTCCACTCTTCCAATGACTTCCTATGATTCTTTAGAGCTGTGACATTGATCTGACAGAGATTCTCATTTCCCGAGTAAATGTATTTAAGGTTACAAACATATACTTCATACATTTATAAAATATTTTTATATTTCCCTTATTCTTTCACACAGGTACAATGAAATAGTTTTAAAAAAATGCCATTTGCTTGATTAGATGGGTTTTAAATCCTTTTCTTTTTTTTAGACTAAAAAGTAGTGTAAATTTAGTTAGTAAATTTCATTAATTTCCTTGGATACATGTGATTTACGTTAAATAATGTTAGTTTTTTAAAATTATTATTTATAATTATAATTTTTTTGTCACTCTTCGTTACCTTCTACAACTTTCTATATTAGATATTGTTTTTTCTAAAATTTTCTGCTTTCCAACAGTATATTATGTGTATACCTTCTGACTAGTATTTCTGGAAATACTATTACTGGAAATACATTTTCGACCTAAATAAACATTTTCCCTTTTTTAACCATTTTTCAATTATCAAATTTTTTCATAATGCTTAATAATGAGAGATGGTTAATTATTTAAAATAAACCAAATTAAAGATACTTTAGACCCTTTAGAAATGTTAAACATTTAAGCCCTGTAAAGTGGTATCAATGGGGAAAAACCTAATGATGTTAAAGACCACTTAATTATACAATGATATGTTAAAGACCACTTAATTATACAATGATACACCGAGTTTAATCAAAATTGTTGGATCAGTTTTTGAGAAAATTGTAAATATGTGTGTAACCGTTGAAAGTGCCACTTCCGGGTACTACGGGTGCCACTTCGATTTTAATGAAAAAGTTGCTGTCACATCTAAGGCATATACCTATCTTAAATACATAATATCTGTTTCATACGAATTTTTGTTTTTGAGGTAGACTTACCACATACATACACACACAGAGACCATTTTGTGGGACTTGGTTATTTAGATTTAGGAGACCACAAAACGTGTATTTCCGTTGAAAACTCAGATTCGAAAATTTTCACAATTGCAATACTTTACCTTACTATATATTACATATATAGGTAAGTAAAAGTAAAAACAAATTAATAATTCAGTACATTTCCGAAGCCATTATTACCCAAATTTATAAAATATGTGAACACATGATAGTGCTCTTTGACTTCTTTATTGCTTTCGAATTATTCTCTTCCATGGAATTCAAGGGTACAGACAAAAATATCCTTAAGTAAAAAGTTTAGACTTCAATATAAAGAAATTTTAACACCAATTTATCCTTATTCAAGGTCGTGGTGTGAGGCATGGCATTGCTTTGGAGGATATCTCTAATTTTCATACCACATCTATTGTTTTGGTTGGAAGATTTTACCTGCTGTTATCATCACATGTGATGATTATATGTCTCCAATAATCCTCCCCTTTTCAAAATTATTTAAGAAGTTTATTAATTTCTTACTTAATTTATGGACATCATATATTTTTTAAACTTACGTTCTTTACTATAATGTACTGATTTAATATTTATAAAGAGAATGTTCCCTCTGTGTTCTACAATCCCTTTTAATTTATGAATAATATATTTTATTTAAAATTTGTACTTTTTTTTAATTAACTAATTCAATATTTAGAAATGTAGTATTCCTTACATGTTCTACATTCCCTTTTAATCTATTATTTAATTTATGGATGGTATATTTTACTTGTAATTTTTTTTTTCTTTTTTTTATCTTCTAATTTAATATTTATAATTCCTGTATGTTGTTTGTGCTTTTATTATTATATTGCTAAACATTTTTGTGATTTGCAGGTATACCAGTGGAAACTTCTGAACCACGTCGCAAGAGACCATTCAATGTCACTGAAACCTGCACACTTGTCCTATAAATGTACTGTCTGCACAGCAACATTCGGGATGTATAAACAGTTCGAAAATCACGTTTATTCAGCTCACTCTGTAGTCGCAAAGAGAGTGATGGAAAAGAAGTCTTCGGGCCAGCAGCCTTCTACTTCTTCATCATCACCATCGTCTACCTCTCAGGTAAGTGGCTTGTAATGTTTGTATATTTTTTATTTCATTAGTTTTATATCCCTTACTAAAAATTATGTATTTCTCAAGCCAAACTTCATTACTTTCTATAATTGCATTATTTAAGTTAATACAGTTGAATATCTTAAAACAAATTTGTTTAAAACCCATTTAGAGTGACTTAGTATTAATATTGATTTTGTAAATAATTCAGTCATACTTATGTTTTGTGGTGGTTTGAATGTATAATGAAATGTTACATATTTTGACTCACTTTTCGGTGTCAAGTTAAATTTTAACCATTATTTTGAAATAGAGGAGGGGAATTCAACAATTTTTTTATGATTTCTATTTGGTTATTCATTTTTTTCATTTTTCTATCTTATTCAGTCGTTTATGCCAATGAAACTGGTGTGTTGTAAAAAAAAAAAAAAGTATTTTTATTCCATTTATGGGATTCATAAATCTTGTTCATATTAATCAGGGTTGTTTATCCTTTATCACTTTAAGCTGGTCACTTAGGATGTCAATTTAATGAAATAACATTGAAAGTCTTATTCTTTTAAAAACTAGGGTAGAGAAGGCAAGCCAAAATTTCGTTGTTTTGATTTCACAATCGTTTTTGGCCAAAATAATTTTACAGAATGGTGATATTTACTCAAGTATAGATTAGTTAGGTTTTTTAAATATTTTTTTATTATTATATTCTTAAAACTATCATGAAACCTTTTTAGTGCAAATAAAGGCAATAGGCAATTTGTTTTTAAATATCTGTATTCTTGAAAAAAATGTTGCTTCTTTAAATATCAATATTCCATTTTTCATATTCATCAGACTTTCCATTTTGATTGGGGCAAAGGAAAAAAAAAAGTCAGCATAATTATTGTGAAACGAACAAATATAGTACTGCATATTTAGAAGTAAATTTATATAAATATGTTTGTGTAGTTGTAAAAAAAATTTCTTTTGTCTATATGGGTTTACTTCAAGATATCTAAAATAAACAATTCAATATATTACATATTTGTGTACATTAAACTTGGGAGGAGGGAAAGAACCTCTATAACTTTTCCAGCTAAAAATGAATAAAGTTAAAAACTGAAGAACATTTTGATTTCTTAGTTTGTATAATCCCAAAATGAAAATTCGACATTTCCATAGTTTGACTGTTATGTAATAATGTCCATATAAAACATTCTCTTTATAATATATTTATACTTATTAAATATATTTTTTTTAACTTTGCCGCAGAAACTGTTATTAGAATACCATGTGAAAATTGGGGGTGCACATAAGGGATGATTGAATCATAAAATCCTAGGGGATATGCAGATATATAACACATCACTCAATAACTCCCGGGTCTGACACATAGATGACAACATTTTTGACAGACACCAGTGATTTCTGGGTAGTACTAACCTTCAAGCAGTACATGTCAAAATTTCATGGCATTCTGACTGTTAGTTTAGAGGTTACAGTTGTTTTAGTGGACCCAGTTTTGTCATTTTCAATACAATGGATAGAAAGGAATTTCTTGTGTTGATTAAATACTAGTTTTTGAAGTGGAAAAATACTGTTGAAGCCAAACAGTTGCTTGGTAAGCCTTATGGGGTATCTGCACCAGGGAAATCAACTATTATTGACTGTTATGCTGAATTTAAACACGGTTGTGCAATCACCGATAATGCTGAATGCTCTGGCAGCCCAAAATCAACGGTTGTTCCGGAAAACATAAAAATTGTGAACAAAATAGTTTTAAAAGACCGTAAAATGAAGTTGCGTGACACCTTGAAGATATCAGAAGGTAGTGTCTTTACAATTTTATATGAAAATTTAGGCATGCACAAGTTCCATCCCCTAACCAGAGTAGTGACATGTACTTGCATCACATAACTCAGCCCCGGCTCCCAATAACCGCACGTCGACGACTCAGGACGTCTAGAGCTATACACTCTGACGGCTCGCCCACCCTGATCAAACAATTATAATTACATAACCCCATTCATCCCATTCACCCCCTACCATCCACCCCCCTACATACCTATCTAATTCCCTCCTCCTAATCCACTAACAACACCTCCCCCCACCTACCCCCTCTTCCATCCCCTCATAATTCCACCCACAAAATTAATTCCATTCCAAAAATAACAACACCACACCAACATTCCCTTACCTCTATAACACCACTATCCCATAACAAACACCCCCCCCAAATAAAAAAAACTAACTCACTTCTTAAAAATTCTATCCATATAACCAACACAAACCAACACCATCCCAAACCACCATTTCCTCCCCCAAACTAAATCCTCATCACACTACTCCACCTCATTACCACTCCTCTAACTACTCCAATACAACTTAACAACCACTCAAAACTAACACCCAACAAAAAAACCACCACAAAACCAACCAACATACTAAACAACAACAACCAAACCCACAAAAATTAACCAAACCATCAACCACAACACTTACCACACAATACCTTTACCTACACATTTCACAATCCCCAAACCCACACACTCATAAAACCCCTTCCCACCCAATAAAAACTCCTTACTCAATCTACCCCTTACACCCCCCCCCCCTCCCACCCCCATTTCTTATATAAATATAAATATCCCCTCAACTCTCCCCCACCACCCCCTCCTACCATCCCCCCCCCCCAATCACCCCTACCCCCCACTTAACCACACCCTACCCTACTTTCACCCACCCCTTCTCAAAAACAAACACAAATCTTATAAAAACCACCAACTCATTAACCCTCCCCCCCCCCCCAAAACCACCCCCACTCATCCCAGAAGTGGTGCTTTATATAATCGATTTAACACATTTTTACAATTTTCTCTAAAATAGCTCTTAACGATTTTGATTAAACTCCCATCAGTGTATTATTAAGCAGTTTTTAATTTAATGTAGGTTTTCTTCTCATTGATGTTCTCAGGATTTAAATGGCCAATTTTCAATATTAGCTTCCTCTGAAGTACCTTTAAATTTTTTTACTTGAAATAATTAATCATTTCACATTAATATTTGATACAAAAAATAGTTTAATATAAAATATGAAATAATTTGATAATTAACTAAAGGAGATATAAGAGATCGTAACGGATAATACTTGTGATAGAAGAATTAAAGTAATACGAGCGCGTCTGAGCTCACCCGAAAGAATGCATACGTACATGAACTTAATATAATACGGACTCCAACAATATTATGTTCATATACATGCGTGGTTTTCATAAATGCTATCGTTGGTATTATTGAATATTTAATTGTATGGAATACAGCAATATAAAAATTAAAATTTGTCTATATTAGGGTATTTAAACAAATGAAAATTCCCACAATGAAATGTAAATAAATATAGCGCCTATAATTTTTACTTTTACTTCCCCTTAGTCCGAAAATATCTATTTCTGCTAAGAAGAGTGAATGTCGTGTGATGCGCGCATCAGATTTTTTTATTTCAAATTATGGGGGGCTAGGTGGTCGATATGATATTCTTGTCTCCTCAACACTTTTAGGGAGTAATCTCTCTCTTCCCCTAAGCCTCTCTTCCCCTCCAAAGTCTGCGCCTATGTCAAAGAGGCATTTTGATATTTTTATTTTTATGCCAAAGAGAGATACTGTAAATTTTTGGTTGGTTATCTTACTCATTTAGATATCATCAAAATTTACAAATTTTTCATATGACCTCCAATATTGCATAACATTTCGATTAAATCGATTTCTGCCTCGTAATAGTTAAAAACCAGAGAGAATGATCATTATGTCCTATCAAATCTATTCAATAATCTGGAGAAGTTAGGGAATTCCATGGAAGGTTTTGGTAGGCATTCTGTTACTTGGTTCAATTTGCTAAAGTAGTAATTATTTTCTGGTTACACTGAATTACAGTGAACTCTCCAAACTAGTTTCTGAAGCGATCTCATAATTAAAAACACATTGTAGCTTATACAGTACAGTTCGCTTATCCGAATAAATATTACAGGAATCTGTTTTTAGAAGAAGAGTTTTTAGAAAAAAATTAAAAATACTTACATACATACACATAAGTTAAGTATTATGTACTAACAAAATAAAACAAATTATATTTATTATATTGACAGTATGCAATGAAAACGTAACTCCCATCTATTTGAACCTCATAGCTCCAGTCTCTGAGATTTAATTACAAATAAAGATTTGAAAATATATAAATATCTCTTACTAATTAATTAATAAGAATTGTACTATGTAGTAAAAAATATAAGAAATTTAATTACAAATATGAGATTTAATCACAAAGAAAGATTTGAAAATATATAAATATCAATTACTAATTAATTAATAAGAATTGTACTATGTAGTAAAAAATATAAGAACTAAATCTATATCACTTGATACATTTTTTTAAACTCTTCTATTATACCCTTCTAAATTTACCAAAATGGAATGGTGAGATTATCATTATTTACCATCGATATATCTAAGGTAATCACATTAAGTACATAATTTTGCAATTTCACAGACGCAAAACCATCAAATTATTTATTGAATTAATGTTCTAAAATGTCACTTCATGATTTTTCATAATAAACAGATGATATTTAGGTTATTATTTATATCTATCATCGGTTCTACATTTATTAACCAAATAAAAGTCATAAATATATGTTTTACTCATTTATAAACACTGCTCGAAATAATTTTTATATTCCAAATTTTATCTCACAAAATGACAATGAAATAGGTTTTAAAACAATTGTGTCTCGATTTGGTACATTATATATAGTTTCAGCTCACAATAAATGTTAAAAGTTCCTTCTTTTTTCTACAGAAAACCCATTTAGTTTTTATGAAAACATTTATTTTACATTTAATAATATAAATGTAAACAAATAGTCACAACAATTAGTCATAAGTTGTTTATCACTCTCTTAGAGGAAGAAAACCCATATATATTATTTAACTAAGTCCCGAAATTAGTTTTGTACCGAATACAAGATCATGCTCGAATGCCATAAATTGTGGTATCGTGTTGGATTCAGAATTTTGTCGGGATTTAACGAATTACTCCTCATTTTTGTTTTTCGGAATTTTTGTTTAAATAGAATTAATAAATTAATTTTAAACCTTCACCATTGCAGCCCATGAAGGGTCTTGGGTTCAGTACCATTTTGGGAAGTACTGTTTCTTGGTCAACGGTTGTGCAAAAAAGTGATTTGACCGAGATCATGCTCAACCGCCAGATTTTCCCCCATAATTAATTAAGAGTATCTACTGGTTGTGCCCATGGAGGTCTCCCGACCCACGACCAAAGGAACTGGTTAAATGATTTATTTACCATCAGTAAGATTCAAACCCGAGCACTAGGCTATTGTTGGTGGATCGAAACTATCAAATTGGGTTTTGAAGATATTGATTGATGTGAACATTGTTTCTTCGGAGCTTACTGGGTACTGCATTTTAAAGCCTTAAAATCTACCATTTTCAAGATAATGCATGATAAAGGATTTGCAGTCACACGAGCTTACCTTAGTCATAGTATTATCATGGGGTAAATGTTGTGTGTTATTCATTGATTTGGTTCCTTTGAATTAGAAATGATGATGTTACATATATTTTTCTTATCAATAAATTTTAATATTAGTTTTGTATACGTAGCCTCAATTAGCAACTGAAATATTCCTAGAGAGAAGTAATTTTTTGATTATTTAGAAATTAAATTATAAGTGGAGATGTTTTAATGAGAGCTACAACAGTATTGCAATATCTTTCTTCAGGTGTTATTTATTAATCTTTTTTTTTTTTTTATTGGTATACAAATTTTCTACAATCACTTTCATTACTATATCAACACCATCCAATGATTAATTCATCATTTTGAAGATTATCATCTATCATTCTACATAAAACGAATAACTAAGTATTCCTTTTTGATAATAAAAGAAAAAGATCAAGTAAACAATAGGTTAATCATAAATAGCTAATTAATCTTAAATATTTTGGATTACAAGTAAACAATGATTTATTGCTATGATTTTTTTAATAAAACAGTTTCCAAGTCCAGTACGTCAGAATGAAAATTAATTTGATATTTTAACTTTTTTTTTATGGTATTCTATTCTGTTAACAATTTGTATTATGATTTCAGCTGATTTGTATTTTTAATTGATTACCAAAATATGAATTCAATAATATTAGTTAAGTATTCTATATTCATTAATATTTAATGGTCTTATAGAAGTTTTCATATTGTTGCATATTATGCTTGATTAGATTTTGTTTAATATCTATGTGTTTAATGTTTACAACCTAACCTATTATTTATATATTTAATTTTTTTTCAAATATTTCTTTTTTAATTCTTATTGTTTCTATGTTAAATGTATAGATTAATTACTTGTTGTGCTATCTAGTTTTGCATGTTGTTGTTTATTTGTTATTACTAATTTGAATTTTGTTATTGAATTTCTTTAAGTATTAAATATTTTTATTTGGTCCGTTCTACTCGTTTTATAAATGTATAGTAATAAAGATTAAAGAAATATGTAACATTTAAACAATAAAGGTAATTTTCCACCATCACAAGCTTTTTATTGTTATTTTGGCTTTGGAAATACTAATATGTGTACCCTTCTATGTTCTTAGTTAACAGTTAAGAATAACATGCCATCCAACTGTATACATTGTTTCTATTTTTTTTTTTTTTATATATATATATATATATTGTTTCCCTATGTATTTTTGCAGAATGGATTGCTTTTTATGTTATTATTGCATTTATGTGTCTTCCCAGGTCATACTTTATATGGAAGCCGAGTCGTATGTGAATAATAAAACGAATGAAATTCTTGTTAGTACCATTAATATCGAAAACTAATGAGTCATATTTCCAAATGTTTTCGTTCACTTAAGTTTATGTTGCAATTCTCGTAACCTTTTTAGATATTGCCACTCCTAAATAAATTCTACAGACGTTACCAAACTAAATGCCTGTTTTAGACAAGAACAATTTAGTTAACCATATTCAAATCTCAATTATGCTTATCTCGCCACACTTTTATATGTATAAATATTTTGTTGTGTTCGTTTTATTTGTTTGTGTTCTTTTTTATTTTATTTTTTCTTTAATATTTGAAAAAAGTTGAGTTTCAAGTTTTTTTTTTTCAGTTTTTTTTTTTGTTTGTTATTTTGTTTAGTCTGCACTATCCTTTCTTTTTGATTCATAAAGTCGTTGCTTTTTTATTAGCAGAGTGACTCATACCAACCTCTGAAACCACTCAAAATAAATGATGAAATCACAATTATACCTCAACCTGCAAGGGCCAAAACGAAACCTCAGCCAGCACCTGCAAAGACTAATAAGGTAATACAAAAATAAAGAAATTTTTAAAATAAAGGAGTATTAGAGGTTTTGTAAATATATACAGCAGTTCCTAAGAAAGCATTGCCATTATAGATTAGGCAGTTTTTATTTTTTTTATTTTTTTGTAATTTTTATAAAATTGGTAAGAAATATTTAAATTATAGTCAAATATTAATATTCATTGTTATTACTTATTCAATTATAAAGCTATAATAAAACGATTTTTTTAAATAACCTATTGTTATGATTTCCATCTTAGTGGAATTACAGCCTTATGCTCCCTCTCTATTTTATTTTTATTTGTGGTGTTCTCTAACATTCTGGTTGTTACAGTAGGGTTGCTGTTTATTTTCTTTACATTATTTCTTCATTTTCTACTTTTTTATTATTATTTTGTTTAATTTTTTTAATTCCTGTTTCAGGCTAAATTTATTCCAATGTATAAATTAATATAGTGAATTCTAAATGGTTAATTTCTTTTATAAATATTTCCTTTTTCATAAAAATATTATTTATAGGCATTCACTTTAATATCTTACTAGCCATCTTTGTAAAGTTGTTAATGTATTAGATTTTTTTATCTTTGGAATTCCCATGTAAATTTTTTTTCCATCATCTTATTTTGAAAATGTTTGGAAATAACGGCTTAATAGTGTGACATTTCTATGATATAGTTTCAACATAACACTCTTAATGGAACATTTATAAGGTATTGAAAAAATCTTTTTGTCCTTATATAAGTGGTAATTCATTTGGTCAGTACAGTCATAGAACGCAGTGAACAGAATTTAAGTAAACATCGCTATTTGGTGTCTTTTGAAATTTTATTTCTTCAAAATTGTTTGAGCTACACAGTACAATCTACCTAACTATACAATTTTATCTTTTGATTCCAGTAAATGCAGTAAATTTACAGTAGACCTGATTATTTGGACAAATCAATATCAGTCTGGATACTAGAACATTACGGATCCAATCAGTTATATATAGTGTAAAATTGAAATGAACAAACATTGCGGAAAGAACAAATAATAATTTAGTAATTAACGTATTAAAATAATTATCACATTTTTAATCATTGTATTGTTGACATTTGTGCTTAATAAAACATAAAAAAAAAATATACAAACAAGTCTTTTATTCAACACTTAAATACAGATTGAAAAAATAAAACAACTAAATAGAAAGAATATACCTACCTTTTTAATTCAAAGAACTATTTATAATAATTATATAATTAATTATTATAATTTATAATATTTATTTCATTGAATAAAAATTAAAAGATTATTAACTTACACCTACATTGCAAAAGCATGATTGAACTACTTTGAATAAGTATGAAAACTAAAATTACTCGTAAGACAGAATAAACTCCTTATTTTGTATTGTATGGACTTGATCTTCCATTCAATTATTACTCCATGCTCGTGACAAAAGTTTAATGTTTTAAATACATTTTTGGTTAGTATTTCTGAATATGCCTGAAATGTAATGAGATAAAGATTTTTATCAGAAAAGCTCAAAACCACACTTTCTAATAATATTTTACTATTGACTTTGCGGTGTGGCTTTCTATATTGATTATAAAATTGTTTGTACTTTTAAATAGTTAGTTGTTAATGGTTCAATAAAGATATCTCTTAGTGCTCATTTTCTTACAATTTTAGTGAATTCATTGGATAGGAAGAAATCATAAAAGTACATAGTTTTTCAAATTCTAGTTTAATTTTTGATTTGGATAAATGTTTCAAACCATTTCCAAAAAGTCCAGTAATGATGTCCAGACAACTGACGCTGCATTAAAAACCGAATCAGTTTTTAACTGATAGTTTTGTAGAAATATTTCAATGGAAAACGGCGAGTGTTGTTAACATAAAATGTGTACCCTTGGCGCTCTTTACTGTGCTGACCTATTGGTTTACCGACTTACATGTGTCAAAAATGCATATCAAGCTTACAATATGGCAGTTACTTTCATACAACACGGCTACCAAAGCTAACTGCTAGATTACTGTTAGTTTTGATTGATAATATTGATAATTTGTTATTTATTTTGAATTTTTCTACCTACTTACAATAAGCACATTTTTAGTTAGTTGCCATATCACTAATAACTTGTAAAAACAGCATTTAAGGGAGGTGGACATCATGCTTTCTTTACTACTAAACTAAACATTTGCTTTTATTTATTGATTTCAATTAACATTTTGATTATGTTGCACTAATGAATTACTGGACATAAGGATGCTGTGGGATTGCAGTTTTTATAATCACCTTCTCAGTATATTCTTACTGTTAAGTTATTAAGTTTAAAAATCTCAACAAAAAAAATCAATTTAATATTCTCAAGAAAATAACATAAATTTATTATATCCTAATGTATTTCGTGATAATTTTTTTTTATTAGAAATTTTCAATATTATATACCTCAATTGCTGGATTATCAACTTTGTTGTAAACGGTAGATTCCTTTTTTGCTCTCAGGATCTATGGATTTATATAAATGAGGTATCCAATAAAGTAAATTTCATGAAGAAATGGCTATACCAATTTTGATTATTTAATTGTTACTGTAATAAAAGTGATTGGATGATGAAACCATGAGGTTTCAAATTTGAGATGTTTGCCAAAGTCAGTGGAGTAAGGAAAGATCAATAAGGTTTTTACAAAAAGTGGAAGATTGGTTATGTAGCACCTTGAGTATACAAAAATCATAGCTTGTTAAAGTTACAGCCCCTGAATTAAAATTTTGTATATCATGTAGTAATGTAAGGTAAAAACTAATTCTAATTCATCTATTAATTGAATTTGGTTACTTTTATGAATAGCAATCCAATTTTTCCATTAGTTAGTTGTTTTACTTTTTTTTTTTTTTTTTTCTGAGTAACAGGAAAGCCTGTACAAAGCTGTACTCTTTTAGTTTTTACAATTAATTAGATACACTAAAACTATTTTTAAATACTCTTGTTATGTAAAATATTGTTTTAATATGTTACTGAAATGGCCAGGAATTAAAAAAAGTCACAATTAAAAAAATTAACACAATAAATTTATTAAAGATAAAAAATAGTGATCCTCTTGATTTATTTAAGAAATAAATAGATTATTAAAATATTAATTTTGTATAATTAAATATAAGATTGATTCTTATAATCTAATTTTATTCTTATGGTAAGCATAACATAGGGTTTGTGTGGTATAATAATGAGGTGGTAACAGTGGTAGCACATAATTTCTTATCTCTGGTAATCACTTCAGTTGTATGTTGAAAGGTTCTCAAGTTTACTGAATTTAAAATAAAAGTGTATTTAATAATGTTAATTTTTTTTATAATAAAAGTAAATTTCATATTTTGTTTTGTTTTGATAAATCTGGGCTTTTTAATTTAGTTTTTCTGTTGTTGGTCTTATAAAAACCAAAGCTAGTATGTATTTTTTTATTGTTTTTGTAAAGAAATCTTTATAGAAAATGATTTAATTAAACTTTTTTTTTTCTATAGTTTATAATAATTAATCAACCTCAACCTCTCCGGCTGAGACTATCAAAAAATATGTTTTCATGGCTACATGTAATCATATACAATAAATTAAAAATAAGGGAATATGTATTTTGTTTTGTTAAATAAAGTTATCGTAAATTTTATTTATGTGCAATTGAAATTAATGTTTTTGTGTTGTATTTTCTTGTTTTTATTTTTAGCAATGGGTTGTTGAATGGGGAACCCTCATTGATGAAAGTTTGATAACAATTTTTTTTTTATAAAAGAAATTTAATTTTTATTATTACTTAAATTCATTATTTTACTTTAATTTGTACATTTCATGTTTCTTAATTTATTTTAAATTTCATTAAAAATTTATGAAAAGCAACTTGAATTTTTTCGTGCCTTATTGCTGGACACCTTGTAAAAAAGTAAAGATTTATGAAATGTAATGTGCTATTTTATAAAATAATTAACAAATTGTTGATTAGTAATGGATATTAAGAATGTGTTCTCACAAATATGGCAGTCTTGATAAATACAATTTTGAAAATTAAAATAATGGAGGAAACTTATTAATAAATATTAATGATATTAGTTTATAATTCATAATAATTATAACTTATGGTGATCAACAATCATATAAGTTTAGAAAATGTCCATAAACAAAGGATTTGTGCTATTTCTCAATCATCGTATTAGCTAAAAGTTTGAGTGGAGAAGGGATTAAAATGATTCTCGTATGCACACAAAATGTATTTTCTCAGATATGCCTGTATTTCAGAAACCACTAGTTTGATTTAGCTCGAAGTTGGAAGAAAGTTGGGTATTGGTAAAAAAAAAGAAAAAATGTATCAATTCTATTGAATTCCACCCACTTTACTTTCTCTTGCATGTGCACAAAATTATTTTCCTTGATAAGTATAGATTTAAAAAAAAACGCACATTCTACTTAGCACAAATTTGAAGAGAAGTTAGGGATTAATAAGCAAATGACCAAATAGATATCAATGTTCTATTCAATCAAAATTCTATCCAATACTTAAAAAAAAAAATAATCCTGCTTGTACGATTTGTGCCGAAGTTAAAGAATAATGTACAAATTGCCTATTATCAATTTCATTAAATTCCAACACAACTAAAATTATTATAAACAACTATTGAGAATACTATGTGGTAAGCATTGAGTAAATGGAAAGGGAAGTTAAATTTAATCTAAATTGTATTATTTTCAATCTTTCTGTAGATTCCATGTGATTGTTTGACAGCTATATGTGACTGGTATGACGCCTACTTCCATTGCTTAGATTTCATGTTATCTTTAGTCATGATCGAGAGGGGTGCCCTGAAGAGAGTTTCATGACGCAAGTTGCACCATCCTGATTTTTGATAGGGTTATTAATTTTTATGGGGACCCCAATTCGACAGGCTTATGAATTTTCGGAATGAAAAGTTTCAAACCAAGGGACAAAAATAAAACATGAAACAGACCACAGTAAGTTAATTGTATATGCTCTTCGATTTTCCTACTTCTACATTTGCTGACACTGTTTTTAAGATGGGATGAGCAATTAAATGTCAGAAGAGGGTAGTGGAGGTTCATGGCCCATCAACCTTGGGAGGGATGGGCACCCCTGATAGTCAACTTAAATAGTCCATATAGATTATACCGGATCCCTTCCTCATCTTTTGTATAGGCATGCATTTTTTCTTGACTAGACGCTATGTACTATAATTCCCTAACATTCCCCAGGGTTGTTTTCTAGAAGAATCTTTTCATGAATCCTCTCTTTGTTTCTTTGTAAATAGATTTCATGGAGACCAACGGTGACAGGAATGCAAACCTATTTTTAAACGTATGAATTTTATTATTTTAAACTATACTATCTCCTCATATACCATCTATCCCAAGCGTATATTAACTAAAAAATATATATATATTTTTCTGATTTTTACAGAAAAATGTTGTCCGAGATATAAACTTTCACTGGGAAAAAAATCGTTTCCAAACAAATATATTTGGAAGCGCCATGAATTTCTTTTCTTTCTACCTATTTGCCTTGTTCTAAAGCTTTTCTAATGCTCTCCTGATAAATTCACTGGTTTTGATTTAATACATTTTTGTTCGGGATGGATGATATATATATTTTACCTATAAATACATATATCTGTAAATTTAAATTAATTTTTGATCACAGATTGTAATATCCAAAAACTATACAAATAAAACACAAAACATACATTCCAAAAAGCTACCATAATAAGCAATAAACAGAAACGCTCATGAAAAGAAACGAGAGAGAATTGATTCCTTAAGTTAAAACATTGAAAATAATTTTCAATTCTGTCAATATTATATTCAAAAGTTGAAATGTTATGGTTAAAGAATCTCTGTTAGTTATGTGAGTTGTCAGAAAATGGAGGAATAGGAATGAGAAAGAAATATTACATGGAGTAATTTAAAAGGTATGTCTGGAAGTTGTGAAAGGAGGATAGAGGTCAGAAACACGAAATATTTATTGTTACAAGTGGGCTGATGATTTGAATTGTGGGAGCTTTGTACTTTTTGTACTTTTATAGGTATGGTCCGAGGAAATATATATTGTCTGTGGATGGAGGGGAAGAGAAGAGAAGACTCTTCTCTTCCCCTCCATCCACATTAGTTACAAAGATGTAACTAGACATAAAGATGTATGTGGGACAGAGATAGGATCGAGACTGCTTCAGGGTACTTAAGACAAATATTATAAAAAAGTTCATGATCCGGTTCAATTTGTCCTTCAATGCAATTGAAAGATCACCTTATATAACACAATATATACTTATAATGAGATAGATGTTAATCTTGACTTACAAAAAAAACATAATCCGCCATGAAGGGTTCGATGATCAATTTTTACCTTAAACTCCTATTCCTAAATATCCTTTAAAAATCCTTGGTCTAGCGCCATTGTAGCAGCATGATTGCATGGCATTAAAACATATTTATTTGTCAATTATTTTATTGAATAAAATTTTTTGGGCGTGTTCAGTAAAAAAAATGAACAAAGTAAATATAAATAAACTTTTCAATATATTCACGCCAGTCAATTATTTTAAGTTGTTTAATGAATTTAAAATCTCCAGTCATATATTGGAATGAAATGAATTCTCAATTCTCTGCGGAAAAGTCTCTTCAGAATAACTTTCATGTAACACTAAATAGTGGCAAAAACAATGTGGCCAGACTCATTATAATGAATAAACAATAATTGAAAATACTGCATAACAGAAAAGAAATTTTATAAAGTAATTTAAACTACTAAACTGTATTAAGAAATCTTGTGCGCACGCACATCACACAACTTTCATTTACCACCCTCTTGGCAGAAATAAGTATTTTCAGACACAGAGGATGTGAAAGTAAAAATTATAGAAACTATATTTATTTAAATTCATTGTGCGTATTTTTATTTGTTTAATTATACACACAAATTTTTATATCACTGTAATATATACAATTAAATAATACCAACAATAGTATTTATGAAATCCAGTAGCATTATATGTTACGAATGGGGACATCACATGGTTCAACAAATTTAAACAGAAAAGATTTGCGAGATCATTCTACCCCATCAGAACTCTCGTTGTTTGCTTAACTATGGATAAATTGAAAGAAATGGGCTGTAGGAAAACGCTTAAATACCTCATTGACAGTGTAGTCTTGACTTCCCTCCTCTCCCCTCCCCATGACTTTGTTATTCCCTTTTATTTATCATGCCCTCTACAGAGAATAATTTAAAACAATGAAGAAGTCTAGGTGCATGGGTGCAATTGACTGACAATACGTCCTCAAACTTTTTATGATCATGGAATATCCAAGCTTTCAAGTCAGTAAAAAAGTATGTTATGGAAGAATTATATAGAAAAGTGCTGAAAGTATAGTTTGCATATACCATAAATATATCAAGTAACAACTGTTAATATTTGATTATTCACCCTTTCAGTTAAATATTAATATATTTTTATTAGTAAATTGGTATTACTTATTTATGAATTTTCTTAATCTTCATGAAGTTTACTTTTATTTAAACACTCATATTCAAATATATGTTCAAAAGTCATAAATAACATTAAACTTCCTGATCATCAATAAGAAGTGTTAGTTTTACATAAGATTGATGTTTTCTTCCTCGTTATATTTTGTTCTTACTTATCTTTAATGAGTGGATGCTAGTAATAACATTAATGAGAAATTTGTAATTATAATTTTCAAATAATTTCTTATCTGATAGGTAATAAAAATTATTGAAAGAAGTTAGTCGGCTATTCTAAATATCATGGGTGATAAATAGTCAGTTTTTAAGATTTTCATTATTGCCAACATTTCAACTCAAGCTTATGGGTCATCATCAAGGCATATTACCAGCTGTGGTGTTCAAGAGTACTTCAACACTTTTAGTGCTGGTAGCATGTCCTGATGATGACCCATGAGCTTTGGTTGAAATGTTGGCAACAATAAATTCTTAAAAACTGATTGTGAGCTATTTGACTATTCGCCAGTAAAAATAATTAATTTTTGTCATTATTAATTTGGACATAGCCTCAATATAATACATTAAAATTTAAGTCAATGTGGTATGGGATGGGAAAAATATTCAAATCCCCATATTTTTCAGTTGACAAGTCGTAATCAGTAAAATTTCAAGCCAGTATTGATATCATTATAGACAAGAGTTAAAACAATGCGTAGTGATAGGTTGCTTTTAATAATTTTCATATCAAGTGTAGTCCAGTTACCGAAAAAAGAAAAAAAAGCTATCTCAACTATCATAAATCATTATCATCAATAATAAGTAAAATGTGGCGGCTCTTTCCAAAGAAATAATAAAGGAGGATAGTTCACTGTAAATGAAGTATATATTTAAATATATTATTTTATTAATACAGTAAGAGGGATTGCTCTTTGAATCATGAACTTAAAAAAATTACTAAATAGAAATAATCTGAACAGCATATAAAATCAAAAGTATACTTAGTTTTAATGGCTACTTATTCAGACTGAATTATGATTAAACAAATAATAATTAAACTAAGTTTCTAATATAACATCAAACAAATATTTAAATTTCTTAAAATGATCATTTTGACTGTTTCATAATTAGTCTCCCGGTTAATCTTTGTATTTATTTTGTAATTTACCTAAAATATTGACTGTAGTTGTTTGATGCTGTTACTTAGTACATGCTGCTACAGTCTTAGTATAGAAAAGATTAGAGGGTAATGCTAATGATATGAACATCCAATTTTTTTGTTTTTTTGTAAATCAAAAAAAAAAAACTTAAAGCCATTTTAAAATAATTATCTATAACTTGATTATACAGTGGATTTATCCAAATACCTGCTAGTAACAATTTTATTTTGTTTTAATTAGATCAACTACTACATTACAGATTTTGCAAGTAAATTTAGTTAAAAACTTTTTTTAACAGATTTTAGTAGCTTTAAAATAAAATAAGTTTAGAAAACGAAGAATTAGGAGGAAATTCTGGTAAAATTGTCTCTTTATTGATTACTTTCATTTTTTAAATTGATTTGTGTTACATACAAGTCCACCATTCATTCTTTAAATAAAAATTCATCTCTCCATTTTTATCTCACCAAGATTGCCACAAAATGAATTTTCTAATGATCTGTTTCATAATTTTCTATGTGTAGCTTTGATATTGCATTTTTATTCGTAGTGATTAGAATTTTTAATGTCATGGTAGTTTTGATATTGCTAATTTATTCTATTTTGTAAATGTGATTTACATGCTATCAATGTTAGTTATGTCATATTTTTAATCTTATTTACTACATTGCAGTTTTAATGCTTATTTAAACATTGTGCTCTTTAAATTTCAGGCATAAAGAATTTCAGAAATTCCGCACTCTGTAACTTAATGCAATTTGTTTGTAAGTATTAAGCACTTCCCTGCAAGATCTACTGTGCTGCGTGCATACAGGAACACAAAGGGATAAAAACATTTTTATGCGTATAAGTTATTTTTCACTTATGTTATGTGTACATAAATTCGGAAAAGTGAGTGTTATATATATATAGTATACTATTAAAAATTAAGTTCTTTATTAATTTTAAGTTCTCGCATGGTGTAATTATATATTTTTTATATTAATATCCATGTACATGTACTTCCTTTTTTCCTTGTTTATCCCTTCTTTCACTTTCCATTACTTGTATTTACCGTAATGAACATTTAAATATATATACAAGATTTTTATTTTTATGAACCCTTTGACCCACACATCGGCCATTGTATGAGTCAAACTCTGGCTCTGGCTTCAGTGTATAATAGGATTTAAATTTCTGTATCGAGTCAAACATGATGAACTAGGCCTTCTTGTATAATATTATTTTTATATAGTGAATACACACAATTATAAGTAAATAGATTCTTGTAGATAAATTATAAAAGAAAAATAACTAATCATGTATATGTACCATATATTAGAGAAAAAAATTTCTTATATACCTACATTTCTCCTTATTTGGGTAAATGGTAGAAAATAATGTTTGTATCATTTATTAGGTAACTTAAAAAAACTCTGTCAGTGCGTCGCTTTTGCACGTGCACTTGTTTCCTTTTTTTTTTTTTTTTATTTGAGTCTCTCAGAGTTAACTTGAGAGTTGTTTTTTTCTTGTAAATATATCTAAACATATATAACTTAAACTACATATTTTTATTGAATTATAGCAATCAAGTGCATGAGCAAAATCAGTTATTGTAAAGAAAAAGGAAGAACAGAGATTTTAAATGATGATGCTTTATTTTGCAAGCACTTGCTTACCTCCCTTTCCACATAAATATAAGTAAATAACATTGTGTACCAGATCTCTTCCCTTTCGAAGGGTTTAGTATGTTGTACATGTTAAATAATAAAAGCTCTCTTTTCTTTTACTTGAAAATACATTTTTAATAAATTTTAGTTCTGTATGTTAACAGTATATAAATTATTGAAGAACGATTATCTCAATTCACCATTCAAGTGTTTTCCTATTTTTTAATAACTTAGGAAGATATGAAAAAAGTATTGATTAAAAACCCTTATTGTGGGAGGTTTGTCAATGATAATTAATATTTTATTCCAATAAAATAATATGCTATATATAACTTATATTTTGTTTCTCTTCAATAAAATAAAAACCTTGACCTTGAGAATATTTTTTACTATGAAGATATTTTGTTCATCGAAATGGTAAATCATCTTCCTGTCTTTAATCATATCATGATTGAAGACAGCATTTAGTTTGTGTCTGCTCTTTTATAATATGATCCAAAGTAATCATTCTGATTCAAGTTTTTGGAAAATGGTTTTACCAGGGATGCTTTTGGTTGGTGTTTAGTAAATGTTCAATATTCTACTTTTTTTCAAAAGAAATACATTTTTATAATTTTCTCCCTAATCACTGCTGGCATACTTCATTGTTATGATGTGACCTCTGCTTGATAGATTTGTAGTTTTTTAATACTCTGGAACATTCTTTTTCATTAAAATTATGAAATTAAGGAAACTGATTTATATGTTTTTAACTTAAACCTTAATAAAGGCAGCATTAAGCTGTTATCTTTTATATATATATATAAGATGGATTTAATAATGTGACAAGCTTCGAGATTTTTTGTACAAAGATTTCCATCCGTCTCTTGCTTCCATAACTGAGGATAGGGACGAACGTCTAGCGATAGACG